ATGAAACACAGAAAACTGATTAAAGAAAGGAAAATTCAACAAGTGTCAACTTCAGGCAAAACAAAAGGCTGGAAGGAAATAATAGAAGCACTATGAATTATACATTAATAATCTCATAATCAAAGCCATGAAAACACTATATATTGACTTAACTCTAGAACTATGTTATCACCCCACAAAGAAGACTTCAGGAAAAGCATGGATGGGGAGTGGTGGGGAGAGCTGATGCAACATCTTTCTCTTCCTTAATAAAAAGTCAGTATATCTTTAACAATGAAAAATAAAAGAAATTTAAAACATGTTAGAATATGAAGGTAAATATCAAAGAAACAGATAAGTGAATTAAAAATTATTATCTCTGAGCCTGGAACTGCAAGTTTTCATTTGCAGGTCATGTAACTGTTTAGTACACATGTATCATTTTGCTAAATATTAATACTAGAATTAAAACATCCACACTTTTTTTCAGAGTTTGCATAAATATTCACTAGATGGATAGACCAGTAGATACATAAGCACATCTGTATCCATATGTGTGTTTTTTTTATAAAAAGAACTACATCATATTATATACAACCTTCTCCTTTTTGCAACTTGTTTTCTGTAATCATATATTATGAAAGTCTTTCCAAGTCAACTGGTATGGAACCACTGTTTTTGAAGGTTATATGTTATTCCTTATGTACCATGATTTATTCAATTATTTCTTTGAAGGGCACTGATTTTGTTTCCAGGTTTGTTTTTCCACTACAAACAGTGCTACAGTTAACATTCTTAAATACATATGTATATATTTTAATATGTTAGAGCTTGAAGTTCTCCTATGGGATCAATTCCCAGGAGAGGGTCAATGATCAAAGATTATGTGTACTTTATTTTATTTATTTATTTATTTTTGCAGTGTTGTAGATTGAACCCAGGGCCTTGAGTCTCCCTGAATGTGGGTCAGGCTCCCTACCACTGAGCTACATTCCCAGCCCCTCGCAGATTTTAGTTTAATAGATATTTCTCAATTAATTTCCAAAAAGTGTTCCAACAATGAAAGAGAATATATCTCTTATTAAGGCCATCTTCTATATTCTTTAGTAAACGTTTGTTGTTGTTTTCCTCACGTAGATCTGACAATGCTTTTTTGCTAGATTTTTTATATTTTTTTTCAACTTGATGAAAATTATTATCTAATCAAAAATGCTTGAGAACAGGAGACCTAGTCCTCTTTTCTGATTTGACCTTGTATCTGGCCATCTGGCTGAATCTTCTTATTAATTTGAATAGCTTATTTGCTGGTTTTCATGGCTCTTCATGGACAGATTTTTAAAATTCTTTTCCTATACTTATACTATTTCTCTCTTGCATGATTATGATCTCTGGAAAAATGTTGAATATTATGGGGACAGTGGACATGTTTATTCTGTCCTTGACATTTGTGAGAATATTTCTAATATATCACCAATTAGTCTGATGACTCGAGAATACCTCTAATTTCCTGCTATGAAAGGTTGCTAAGGTTTCCAGTTGTTTTTGTTTTGACAAGGAATTGTCAAATGTGTTTTTTGGTTTTTTTTTTTGGTGTTGGTGGTTTGAAGTTGTTTCTCTCTGCCCCCTTTATCTTTCGTTTTATTTTTCTTTCATCCTCTCTTTCTCCCTTCCTCCCTCCCTTCCTTCCTTCCTTCCTTTCTTTCTTTCTCTCTTTCTTTCTTTCTTTCCCCCTATGGAGATGTATCATATGACTTTGGCATATACCAAGATGACCATAGAAAATTTTTTGTCAATTTGTTAATAAGCTCAACTATGTGAATGAATTTTCTAGTGTTGAGTCATCTTGGTATTCCTAAGAATAAGGTGTAGCCGTGCGATCATGTGGTATTGTTCTTTTAGAACTCCAGTAGATTCAATTTGTTACCATAATCTTCATGAGTTTTATATCTAGTTTCACAAGTGACCTGGCCTAAGAGGACTTTTCCTTGTCTCATTTTGATGTTAGGATTGTGCTAGCTTCAAAAAACAAGTTGGGGACATTTCCACACTTTCTCCATGCTCTGAAAATTATAAATATGATAGAACTAGGCCACAGTGAGTCTAACAGATCCAGGATGGGCCCCAAAGAGTCCCAGAGAGGGAGGTACATGTTAACCAAGTGATGCTATAGACCTGGGTGCAATGGTGGTGTTTTAGTACTGCTGAGAACAAGAGAATACAGTGATGTCCAAGGAGCATGGCAGGTCTATTGTGAAGCAAAACCAGACGCTGGAGTAAAGGGGAGGCAGGCAGAGGCAGGACCCCCAAGGTAGAAGAGGATTTGGGTCAGTCTAAATCCCAAGGAGGGCGTGGTTAATCAGAAGCAATATGTGACCAGATCTACAGTTTTAAATGATTACTCTATATTGAATAGTTGTAGACCATGTTGATCTTCAAGCTGTCCAGGAGACCACAATGTGGAAGTGGTTAGAATAGGGACCTCAGGGCACAAAAGTCATATTAGAGTCTCCAAGGCCTCTGGCTTCATATCTTCCTGATGAGATACTCATCACTGAGATGGGAACCTGGAAGAAGACCAGGTCTGGGAAACAGACCAGAGAGCAGTCAGGGAAATGCTGAGTTTAAGGCACATGGCTTTGAGCTGTGCAGATGAGGAGTCAGCTCAGAAAACAGGCACAAAGTACAAAGCCCAGTGGGGTGGTCTGGGTTGGAGGGTGCCACTGGGGAATTATCAAATGTTAATAAAGCTGAGCGCCAGGGAGAAGTCACCTAAGATTGGGGAAAGAATAAAGGCTTGCACAGAGGCTTCAGGAAGAGTTACAATTTAGATACAAAAGGATAGACCATCCAGGGTGTTGAGGACTTTTGGACCAGGAAGAAAACTAGGACAGCCTGATAAGAAGGTATCAGCAGGGTCCAGTCCTTCTTGTAAGGCCACAGAAAATAGGACTAAAACTATACTAAACACAGCAACACAGAAGTCTCAAATCATCCCTGAAATCTGCTCCACCCACAGCCTTCTCCATCTTATTTGAGGTGACTCCATCTTTCTAGGAGCTCTGGCCTAACACCTTGCTGTTTCCTGACTTATGTCTCCTTATACCCCACATCCTTTGGCAAATTCTCTTGGCTCTACCTTTAAAATACCACCCATGACACTGCTGCCAGTTCTGCTCCAACTACCATCACACCACTGAGTAGGAGGCTCCCTATTTCCACACTGCTCTCTCTAGCTAGTCCAGCCCAGAAACCTCCATGATCTTTCACACTACAAATCAGATCATGAATTGGGAACAAAACCCTAGGTCCTTCCAGGCGCAGTGGTGCACACCTGTAATCCCAGCAATCTGGGAGGCTGAGGCAGGAAGATCTCAAGCTTAAAGCCAGCATTAGCAACATATCGAGGTTCTGTCTCAATGGCTTCTAGGGCCTGCATGATCATCCCCCTGTGAGTCCACCCTTATCCCCTCATGCAGCTTCCAGCCACCTGTACCTGCTTAGTTTTTTTTTTTTTTTTCAAACATGCCAAGAACACACCCTAGTCAAGTTCTTTGCCCAGGCCATCCCAATTCCTGCTCAGTGCGCTCCTTCACCACATACTCATCCCCGATCATTGCTTGAAGGTCTTCTTCTGAGACTTTTCCTATTTAAAATTGCAACCACTCCCACTCTGCCCCTTCTCATTGCTTTCTGACCTCATGGACACTCACCAGCCTCCAGCATGCTGTATATTTTATTGTTTAAGGTGTCAGCTCTCCACAATGAGATCGGTTCCAAGAGGACAGCGATTCTCACCTTCAGTTCACCACTGTGTCCCCATCAACTGGCAAACACAATATGTGGCTCATATTAGAAGCTCAAAATATATGGGTTGAATGATTGAAAGAAGCAGTAAGAAGCAAGGGCTGGAAAATGGAGGTCCAGCTCTGCCCAGTTGGGGGATATGTTGTAGAGAAGGAACCCTCCCCAGCCCCTAACCCAGACTCTGAATGGTGGAGGCCATGCCTCTACTCTCTCTGAACCTCCACAGTTGAACAGACCCCTTGGATTAAAAAACCAGACACTGAGATGGACAGCTTGAAGATGTGGGTTTTGCATAGCTCCTAGTTTGTGGATTGTGTGGTCCCAGCAACTTATCTTTTAGATTTTATCTTCAGCCTGTTCATCCTTCAAAAATTTATCTATGCCAGTAGGAATACACAGCTCTGAGCTTGTCTGCTCCTCTGCACATTGGAAGTGATGCATTTGCCTGAAGGATGCACAAGAAAGGCCAGCAACAAGAATGACACTCAGGGCAGGTTGGGGTGACCTGTGAATGTAGCTGGGCCTGCCACATGCCTACAGCAGAGAAGTAGGCAAAGAGCTACTTTGCCCTTTAGAGAATCAAGGTAGGCACGCCTGAAATAGGAAATGATGAAGAGCTCCCCACATGAAGCAGTATAGAATGGAAATAAAACTTGATGCAGGATATACATAAAAATGCACATCAGTTCTCCAAAGTAACAGGGAGGAAATACACAATAATGACTTGCAGGAAGGATTCTTGACCCACAGCCTGGGCCTGGTGCAGATCCTTCCAAGATCTGGGGTCACCCAGGTGATCTCTAAGACTCCATGGGGTCTGGTTGCTGCCCTCCAAGGGATTGCCAGCCATGGAGGGCTCTCCTCTTTTGCGATGTGCCTTTCTGGATGCCCAAATCCTTCCCATTTGGCCACCCTTTGCAGCCACCACTTTCTCAAAGTAGATTTACTTTCAATCGCCATTTGCTAAATCTGTCCGCTATAAACCTTTGGGGGAGGCCGAGATTAATCCTGATTACAGATGTTATAGAAGAGAGTCCAGGAGCATCAGCAGGGCGGGAGTCAGGCAGGAGTGGCCAGCAGGAACCAGTCCCTGCTCCTCCTGGACTGACCCAGCTGCCTGCAGGCCTTACCCCAGGCTTGGGACGCCCTTACCTACCAGCAGAATGTGGCTCTGTTTTGCTTTGCCTCTGCCCACAGGGTGAGGGGGCAGCCCCTTGCAGTGGGCCTGCTACAAGGGGGATGCGGGAGGCTTGCTCATGGGCTCCCTGAAGAAGATGAGCAGCTCATTCAAGCGGGGCTCACTCAAGAGCTCCACATCTGGGTCCCAGAAGGTGAGTAAGCCTTGTGGGGGGCCTGCGGGCAGAAAGACGGAAGGACAGAGGGACACAGGGTTCCAACTCTGTGGTCTCAGAATGCTGCATCAGCAGACGCCTGTTTTTCAGACTGTGTGGAGGTGGGCATGAGGGGGTTGAGCATTTAGATATCCAGCATCAGACTCTCTTCTTGAGAGATGGCCCATATTTCCTGCCACTGTGCCTGATGCCTGTTATTTCAGCAGCTCCCATTTTTGTGTGGCTCACCACACCCATAGGAGGTGTCAGGTGGATGTGAGTCATGCAGATCCTTTGTCCTGCATGGGCAAACACATTCTTGAGTCAGTATTTGTGGGTTTTGCATAGCTCTATTGCCCATGATGGGGACGCGCCCTTAGCCCTCCATGACTAAACTTTGCTTGCCCATCCCTTTTTTTTTTTTCCCTTCATTGGATATTTGTAGGAGTACTGTGTGGTCTCTTGAGGATCCAGGATGATCAGGGTGTGGATCCCACCCTCAGGTCAGAGGAAAGGAGATGGTCATTTGCTTCTAACAGAATGGAGGGCCCAAGTGACCCCTAGAGAAGTTCTCAGGAGAGCAAACCTTTATGGAAGGGTCTTTATTTGTCCTCTGGACAGAGCTATAGTACAGTGTGTGCCAATGTGAATCTTAGACTTGCTTTTCCCAGATGACTGTAAGTCAACCATGGATATGGTGACCCCGAGCACCCAGGCTGCAATAAATGAGTCTTTGGGCCTAGGTGGCCTGGAGAGATCACTACCTCACCTTGCTGCCTTCAAGTGGGGGGCAGGCCAAGCAGGATCTCAGTCCAGGCCACACTGGAGGCCCTTGGGTACCTCTTGCCAAACCCCAGTGGCTCAGAGGGAATCTCAGCTTCTTCGGGGCTGTTGCCCATTGTGTTTAGAAGAGGGAGCAGTATAGGAACATGCCTTGTGTGGTCAGAGAAGAAGCTTCCCTTCAGGAACACTTTCTGAGCAAGGACACGCTAGTCAGTGCCCTGGCATTGGGGAAAGAAGCTGGTGAAGCATGAACCAGGTGAATACCTGGGCCAGGCAGAAAGCTCAGCAGGCTGCAGTCTCCTTATCCATTAACTGGGGTATGGCAGAAGTCAGGCCAGGTGTTTGCAAGACTCTGACACTCCAAAACCTAAAATGCAAACAGAAACAATAAAAGACTTTCTTCTTAAATAAAGAATTAAAGCTTACCCCTGTTTCAAGGATAGGAAAGATCTATCCCGTGACGGGGGTGGGGGCTCCGAGGCAGGCAGGCACATCTATCTGCTTTCCCATGCATGAGTGAGAGTCAGCATTATTTTTAGAGACAGTGCACACCAACTGTCTTGTGTAAATTAACATTCACGAATCTACCGCCGCATTTGGCAGGAACAAGAGACTGACTAGCTGTGCAGCCAGGGCCACATGCCTCCGTGTGACCCCTCCCTCCCCAAACACAAAGCCAGCCCACACTGTTCTTGCTGATAAGCTCTGAAAAGGAGCAGGCTTTTGTTGTTCTTGAATTTGATGTGTCCTCTTGACCTCTTCCTGGTATATTGCTTTATGAATAGTCACCCCCACAACACACACAACCAATAGGGTCTGGGAGCAGGGAATTCAACTAGAGGAAAGAAGCACTTAGATTTGGGTCAAGATTGAAAAACAGCACCTCATTTACACACTCACACATGTGCGCACACACACACGCACACACGCACACATGCTCATAACCATTCCTCCAGGTCAGAACACTAAAATTTACTTCAAATCCAGGAGCAAGGATGATCTTGCCCTTTCCAAGGGGACCTCATCCCCTGGTGCTACATGCCAAACTCCTACAAATGGACTGGCAATGTAACTCAGTGATAGAACATGTGCATAGCATACATGACGACCTGTGTTTAATCATCAGCATCACAGAAAAAAAAAATCATAAATCCCAAACTTCTACAAAAGACAAAAGCACAGCATAGTTAAAAGTCTTAATGGCATAGTTGGCCCTAATGCCTATTTATAACAACCTTCAAGCCACAAATTAAATTTACTGATGGAAGAATGAAAGATAATACCTATAGTTTGTCCAGGAGCTATTCTTTAAGGAGGTGGGTACTAGGAAGCATTCACAAAAATCACACAGGCACAAACAGATTGTTTTTCACAATTTTCTTACATACTTGGCCCTCCTTTGACCTCTTGGTACCAGTTCCCTGTTTCCTAACCAAAAGCTACACCTTCTGCCCAGTGTTTACTAAAACACACCAGCTGCCCCATGGGAAGAAACAAACACAAACTACACTCTACTAGTTTTCTGAGGGTCGTTTCGACTGGCCCTGATTTAGTAAAAAACTGACTTGACCTTTTGTCCTTGGCTGGTTGGCTCTCCCCAACTGGGAGTTCTTCTCTTGGTCATGACCCACAAGGGTGCACCTATGGAGTCCTAAGGCAACGAACAAAACCCAGTCACCTCTGAGGTTCCTGGCGCTCCAGCCCTCAGCAGCCTGCTTGCTGGGAGTCCCCGCTGGCAAAAACAATCCCTCTTCCAGGAAAAGCCTCCAAGCATTCATACGGGAAATGGAAAATGTGATTTCTTGTCTAGCACTTCCATCCCTGTTCACATTTTATTTTGCTAAGAGATGCATTTAAAGTTTAGAGTTGAAGATCAAGATCCTAAACAAAACGAAATAATAATAGAACCTAGCAATTCTACCCTAGATTCTTTCTTGGAACAATTCTGGCACATGTGCTCAAGGAAATATGCAAAACCACTCATGTCAGCATTGTGTGCTACAGAAAACCAGAAGCAACCAAATAGCCCAGCTATAAGGGTATGGATAGGCTTTTGTTCATTCAAACAATGGAATACCATACATCACTTAAAATGAATAAACAAGCCACCTGTATCAACATAGATAAATCTCAGCACACTCTGTTGAATAAAAAATAAGCCCCCAAAGCACACTACTTATAGAAAATATAAAACACACAAGGAAATCCTAAATAAAGACATATATTTCTGCAGGGTAGAGATGGTTGGCTCTATCTGTAATGTTCTTTCTTTTTCTCCCACCCTCCCTCCTTCCCTTCTTTCCTTCCTTCTTTCTTTTGAAGAGAGTAAAAAATGTAAGCACATGTGGAAAGTTATTCCATCTGTAAAACAGGATGTGAATCTTCACCTGTTCTGTCTATGATTTTGAAACAAAAGGAATGTTTTCATAATTTAGAATTGTTTTCACACTTTTAAAGCAAACCATGGGGAGAGTGAGGGTCAACCAGTATGTTCTGGGTTGGGGGCTGCTCTACCTGCTACAGCTCAGCCTCAGGGTCATTCTGCCTAAGGCTGAAACCCATGATACACTGTTGTTGAGAAAGGACTCCCACAAACTTGGCCTGGCTTATCTGAGTTTCTTTCTCTTAGTAAGTACAGCTTTGCTTGCTCTAGAGCTGCCGTCAGGGGTCTTGACCACAGAGCTTACCCTCTGCAGTCCACTGCCCTATGGCACAGCTGTAGCAGCAGGCATGTACCCAACTAGGATACAGGGGACTGTCATTCACCTCAATAACTAGGCACTAGGACCACATCTGGCTCCTCTTGAGGTTATGTCACCCCACTTCTCAGAAGGTGTTCCTGAAATTGTGGGAATTTCCATGTACATCCATGCAATCTGTATTTGGAATCAATTGAATGCAAAATTCCACACAAGTCGAAAAAATTCCCATCCTGGAGAAGGAGGGAATCCTGGTACCCCTGTCCATTCCCTACTCATTGGTAAAGGCCTAGAAGGCAACAGACCCATCACACCCTCGCCCATCTCTCTAAGGCTTCATATTACTCATAGAATAATATCCAAAAATCCCGTCATGGTGATGGGCCAGTTAATTGTTCTGCTGAATTCTCAGTCCACTGTGCTTTCATACAATGCAATAAAGTGGGTTGCTAAAAAATGAAATTAAAAAAAACCATAAAATCCAAGCCATAAGGTTTTTTTTAATTATGAAATTAAATATTTTTGATTCCTTCAAATTGCTAAAATCATGTCTAAATAAAGGATCTCGCTTTCTCCTCCCTCCTATTATGGCCAGCAGTTAAGTTTGCAGTCCTTGCTTAAAGCACACCTTGAGTAAGAAAATCTGGGGGGATCTGGACATCCCATTCAATCCTCCCCATTGAATAAACCAAGTCACCTGTATTAAACCCTGTGAAGCAGGGACTCTGGTCCTCTTTCAAGCTGAGGAAGAATCTCAGAGGTAGGGTGCCTGGTCCAAGGGAAACACTGGACTCCATTTCCCCCAAAGGTTCTGCAGTCTGCTACTTTGGAAGACACAGAATCTCCCAGGGCAGTGGCTCCTGGAGCTGCTGAAGATATCTGCACCTAAGCCTGGGGAAACTCCTGCAGCCAGCTCCTGCTGACCCATGGACTCCAAGTTGAGCAGGTGGCCCCACATCTGTGGGAATACAGGACTCTGGCAGGCACTTACCCCCTAGGAACCATCCCCAGCCCCACACACCAGAACAAAGCTGCCCAGGCAACTTCCCTTGGGTGAAGGGGCCCGGAGCCTGAGCGATATGGTCAAGTCCCTTGAGTTGAGGTGGGGGTGTGCCATAGAAGACAGACCAGTTGGTTGCCAACTGTCCCTTCAGCCACATGACAGCAGGCCTTCCCAGGGCCAGCATGTCCAGCACCCTCTGGTGTAGCCCCCACCTACCATATAGGCATGAACCCCATTCTCTTGGATTTCCTGCTCTTCTGTGAGCCTTTCTTTTAGCTGAGCAGCAGGAAGGTACTTTCCTGGTTCTCTGACCCCAAATGACCAAGGTTTCAAACTAGGTTAGAGGGATGGGAAAAAGGTATGGAATGGGCCAGGGTCATTTTTTCCCTAGGCACATAGCCCTTGGAGAGCCAGAAAAGCGGACGAGAAAAGAATCTATGAGGGAAACATGAGGTGGGGTAGACTGTCCCAAAGGACAATGTTCACTAGGGTTGAGGAGGTGGCACAGGTGACAG